CATAGCATGAATCCTATAGATGACAAAATTGTGGAGCCATTTTGGCATAAATCAACACCTTTTGATGATGATGTTTATCTATAGTGGATAATAAAGCGTGTGAGGATGGTGGCGGAGAATAATCTGAGAGTGATGATGCACCATCTATTTCCAGTCACCCACAATATCCTAAGACATCAAATCGACCATCTGTGCTAGCTAGCAACATTCTCCTAAAATAACTGAGTGACCATCACCATCTCATGATCACTATATCCCTCAGGTAGTAAAACAGAAATAAGAGAAGTTGATGAGAGATATCGAGCACTTTGATCGAGTAAAAAAGGAAAATTAATTTGTTGCTCCAATTAGTTGGTAGAGGCGAATTTCAGTCACAAAGAAGTGGATTTGATGATGGTGTTTTTAGTACGGGCAATTGAAAAGGTAAGATTGGAAGAAGAGGGGATTATTGAAGATTGCTCTCCAAAGAATAAGTCACCCCGAACAAACGACATGAGGCTTTCACTATATATGATGATATATTTCCTTTTTTCATTTTTGCAATAAGCTGAAGATAATTACTTTTTTACTAGGTCCCATTAGGATTTATGCCCGATCCTTCATTTAGCATAGTTGTTTAAAAATTTTAAGATTAACGAAGCTCTTCAAGATGAGGAAACTATAGAAGCTCATTAAAATTAGGGAGTCCATTATTAGAAGTGGCTCCGTTGAAAAAATCAAAATAGAGGTAAAAACTACAGAATATCACAAGTGCTATTCTAGACACGAAAACGACCATTGTGTCATTAAATGAGCAAACATGAGTATAAGCAATCAAGTCCCATTCGTGCTCCAAGAACTAATAAATGGAAGTTATTTATGTTGTAATGTACATGATATATACAAGAGTTGAGAGATATCATCGTTGTCTTAATCGACACGTATTAACAGGTTGAGTTGTGCTTTCACCAACTTGATAATATATAATCTGTATCATTTCGATCGTTCTCTGTCCCATGTCAACCTTTTGTGTCATATACATTAGTAAGTCCATTATTAGATGTTGTTTCATTATAAAAACTAAAATCTACGTGAAAACTACAAAATAGATCAAGTGCCATTATTGGACATGAAAACGGACCTCGTGTCGTTATGTGTAAACACAATAGGAATAAATGACATCATATATATGTTGAAGATAATTGATATTAAATCCATAATATGTAGTTGTTGAACCTTATCGCTATGTTTTCCATGTAAAATAGTCAAAACAATACTAATGATATTTTACGATTACCAAAACAGCCCCGCCTGCCGTTATATCTTCATCTTTCATTCTAAAACAATAGAAAGTCAACCATTCTAAATATTATAAATAGTTTACATTTCAAAATTATGAAAGTAGTACATCATTACACCACTACCATTTTTTAATATTCACAAATTGCTTATTGCATTTTAATTTCAAAATAAGATAATCGGTCCAAAAATAGAATAAACCGTATAACATATTGCATTCGATAAAATAAAATAATACCTATTCTGCACTTGTCATGCTGAGGGGTGCACGATTTGTACACATGATGAAGTTATACCCAATTTTTGAACACCTACTATACTTGCAAAACTTGCGCAACTCTCAAGTTTATTATTTCCTTTTTTGGTGGACGTCCGCTGCCTCTTTGTTTCAATGGTCACATCACCTTTCTTGACCTAACATTATAAAAAATTTCCCAGTCCACCTTATTTAGTAATAGGTGTATATAAATTCACATACGCTTTTTTCCAAAGAAAAATACTATAAAATAGTGAGTAAAACCTGAACAGTTATCTCCAACATCTCTTACTACAACAATTGCACGTGTTATGGAATTTGGTCCAAATCAAAATCCTTGCATGAACATCTCTCTCGCTCTCTCTCTTCCCCCAAATTAACAAAGAAACTTTCCACTTCCTACTAATTGACATTTCATTTGGGCTAACAACTTTCACCTCCAAGCCTTTTGATTCATTATACTTATTGTCCATCTTCTCCTCCAAAGACGAGATGAGGTGGCTTGTACATTTTTTGACATCAATATGTCTATCAAAAAACCATTTTGCATCATTTCTCTGATACTCTCAATTGAAGCAAGTATATGAAATTCTCGAGCACTTTTCAACAATGCATTCAACGATTCTACATTGTTTATGACCATGCTATTGTATCTCGTCCCATTGAAATGTGCTCTTGACCAAAGCTACACACCAAAATCCTTTTCTAAGTACTCTTGGATTTTCTTATGTTGATTGTATAATGCTTGCATGCTGATCTCAAAATTTGCCAAACTATACGTCTCTGACCATTTTGCATCATTTCTCTGATACTCTCAATTGAAGCAAGTATATGAAATTCTCGAGCACTTTTCAACAATGCATTCAACGATTCTACATTGTTTATGACCATGCTATTGTATCTCGTCCCATTGAAATGTGCTCTTGACCAAAGCTACACACCAAAATCCTTTTCTAAGTACTCTTGGATTTTCTTATGTTGATTGTATAATGCTTGCATGCTGATCTCAAAATTTGCCAAACTATACGTCTCTGCGGTAGCTTTGAACAGTTGCACGATAATAATGTGAGAAAATATGTTCTTCGGGTTATTTTGCGAACGCCATGTGCAAAATAAGTGATATGCATCATTAAGATAGACATTGCTAAAATAAATTGATATGCTTGTTGCATGATCAAATATAATCACTAGCTTGTCTAAATCACCAATTATTTGTTACAACTTATGAGAGAACCAAGTCCATAAAGCACTGTTTTCTAAATCTACTATGCCTTATGCGAGTGGATATATTTGAAAATTTACATTTAGCAGGTGGCAACAAGTAAAGTACCTTGATATTTAGAATTCAAAAGTGCTCTATCCTTACAAATTGTTGATCGGATTGAAAAGCAGAATCTATATATGCTTCGTCCTAATACCATTAAAAAAATACTTGAAATGTCCATCTATATCAGTTTCAAAAAAAGTCAACGTACCATTTTTACTTTTTTTTTTTTCCAAAACATGACAATATAATTGCAATGTTGCATAATTTTCATTAGGGCTATCTCGAACATCTTCGTACCCAAATTCTTTAGCCATATACGCCTTATGATATTTTACAATTATGCCAAACTCCCATGAGTGACATTGATGATGTTTCTTGGTCTATACACTATGTTGACATCATGATACTTTAGAGCTACATGCTTTCCAATTTTGAATAGGAAGCATGTCTATTATCTTCGTGACGAATACTATGGAGCAAGTGTGATGATCAAAGTATTTTCATACTTGAAAAATCTCAAATTCAGTCATGTTCATTGCCATCAAAGCTAGCTGCAACTTTCCTCAACCCAAGCAACTAAAGTTTGAATTCAAATTGGTACTTCATAGCAAGCAATTGAAGTTTTGATATTAAACCAATTTTAGCTGTAAATAATTCTTAATCTTGTACATCCTCATAATGAATTTAAGTCAACTTGTGTTGAAGTACCTATACTTTCTCATAAGTGGAGAAGTTAAGATTATTCTTATCTTTCCTAGGAGATTTATCTTGAAAATCTTGTTTTCCAGAATTATTGTGAATTATATTCAAGTTATTCCAATCCACAAAGTTTCCTTCCATTTTAATAATCTCACAATCATTATTGTATTGCACAAATTTTGTTCTGTTGCTCACATCTCCTTTTTTGGCTCTACCATTAGTTTCTGCCCCCATCATCTCTTTCAAACTCCCTCACATTATCACATTCGCACTCATCTCCAACTTTGATCAAAATAATTATGCAGAGATGATGCGTTTTACATATAGAAAGAAATCAAAAGAAATCATTTTACTTTCATGTCAGAGTTAATCCTTTTTGGTGGAACTGAAAACTTGGAGATTCCAGGGTTAAGAGATATCATCTCAATTTCATGTGACCTTGAATCCATGTTAACTAGCTCTTGCACTTTATTGTACAACTATATATATGATAGAGAAGATCCACATTTTCTTCACCATTCCCTATATAACTCATGTCGATTTGTCTTTTTCAGTTTTCTCAAACTCAACAAAATGACATACTTGTTCTCATATCATCTTCACAAAATCCATAACTGCATATAAAATTAAAATGTTATATAGTTTACTCAAGTATATATATCAAAGTAATATGAAAATATTAGCCATATTCAAATCATCAAAATGACCACATTGTAATTATTAATAAAAGGAATGCCCTTATATATTAAAGAGAATGATTATGGTTCTATTTTACAGGATAGATAATGGTTGTAGTGCCATTCTACATAGCAGATAACGGTTGCAGTGTCGCTATCATCCAAAAGTTACATACAAAAAAAAAAAAAAAAAACCTCGCATAGAGAAATACGAAAACACCACCAATTAAAATATCATTTAATACTATATTCAATAATAAAAGTACAACTTATATTGAATTTTTAAAAGAACATATCTTTAAATGTAAATAATATATAACTCTTATTAAGCCTCCATTTGAGCCTCATTATTTCTTATTACATTAAATTAAAATTTTCTCTCTTCTACTTTTAACAACGCAATCTTTAATAAAATAATATTATACGTAAATCAAAAAATTTTCAATCACTCATTTTTAAAAAAATATATTATTCATCTCATTATAATCTACAAATAATGAGGCTCAAACGGGGGCTAAAATGTTCAAAAGATGCGAAGAATACAATGAAAAAGGAAATTTTATGGTAACTATCATGGATCTTGAAGAGGAAGAAGGTGTCGGGAATTTGTGATATCTTGAATACGTAATTAACTAAAATTAAATTGGATTAAAAAGGGTGTTGGATTTTTAGTTATTTATTTTTTCTTTTCCTCTTTCAACGGTGGAGGTTTTTAAGGCATTTTGATATTGTTTTTTTTTTTTTACTGTATTTTATACGTGGAGACCAACAGCATTGAGAGATAATTATTTAATCAAAAATATTGATTGACTGATGTCCAATGTAATTTTCTTCGTCCTCTCGTCTTTAATCCCGAATAATTTCTCTCTCATGCACAAACCCACACACACCACACCCACGGCAAATGGTGCTACATTATTCCCTTGCTTTTTCTTTAGGTCCCATAATTAAATTCGAATTATTTCCTATTCCTTGCTAAAAACCCATTTTAATTGCCGTAAGATTATAAAATTTTCAATCTTTTTTGTTAGTTTTGGAAACCCTAATTTCCCAATTTTGATAAAAGAAAAAAGAAATTTCAAGTAGCGTTATTGAATTCCAAGCGTCTTTAATCGTATAGTTCCTAAATTGGGCATTCTCATATAGTGATTTATAGATCCCTCTCCAAATAATGATTTGAAGCTTGATAGATATTTCTAATTAGCTTGATTTTTGTGTAATTATTACCGGAGAAAAGATTGAATATTTAGTTGAAGAAATCCCCGGAGAATTGAGTTTTTGAATTACTGAATTTTAGCTTTTGATTCTTGAACTATGGTTTCTAGTTTAAGCTGAGGCTTTTTAAAGTTTTTGTGGGTTTGAACTTTAATTTAAGGTGTTTGTACGGTAGAAAGTGAGGGAAAGGGGGAAAAAATGGAGAAATACGAGCTTGTGAAGGATATAGGTTCTGGGAATTTTGGTGTGGCGAGGCTCATGAGGAACAAGGAGACTAAAGAACTCGTGGCTATGAAATATATTGAAAGAGGACATAAGGTTTGCATTCTTTATTTCTTTTAGTACAGATCTCTAATTTTCTAGTCAATAGTCATTGAATGTTCTATTATATGAGATATTTTGGTTTGCACTGTGTGTCTGCGTGATTCTTTAGACATTTTTTACTCTGATTTTCAACATTCCAGATCTCTTTCTTAGTTATGTAAGTAAATTATACAATTGTGAAGTAGGATATGATATTAAATTTCATTAGCTTTTTTTTTTTTTTTTTTTTTTTTTAGTTCAATTTGATGAAACTTTGTTTGTAGATTGATGAGAATGTGGCGCGAGAGATCATTAATCACAGATCACTTCGGCATCCCAACATAATTCGATTCAAGGAGGTGAGGACCCAAGGTTTTCCTAGTTTTCTCTCACATTTTCTGTTGATGTAATGAGATGTGCTTAAAAGGTTTATTCTGCTGAATATCTGTTTGCATTTTGGATTTACAGGTAGTGTTGACTCCCACCCATCTTGCCATTGTAATGGAGTATGCGGCAGGTGGAGAGCTCTTTGAGAGAATTTGCAGTGCTGGAAGATTCAGTGAGGATGAGGTAATATCACTTATTTTCAACACCCCTTTGTGCCATGGAAAAGCTGGTTCAAGAGAATTATTACTTAGGTTTTTGACATTTTGAATTTCCATGTGATATATGTTTTCACTTTCATTTCCAGGCTAGGTACTTCTTTCAGCAGCTCATATCTGGAGTCAACTATTGTCACTCTATGGTAACTGAAACTTAGTGTTCAATTTAGCTTGTATGTATCAATGTACTTGTGGGTATAAATTATTTTTGGGATCCCATCGCCCTTTTCAAGTGCTGGAACTATGCTTTCTTGAATTTGTCTTGTGCTTTGCAGCAAATATGCCATAGAGATTTGAAGCTGGAGAATACCCTTCTGGATGGAAGCCCTGCACCCCGACTAAAAATCTGCGACTTCGGTTACTCAAAGGTCAACACATTGTTTTCTGATAATTTAAAGATATGTGGAGTAGCTGGTTTTATCATGTGAAGCAGAATGTACTTAGTGTGTTTGTATTTCTATTTCCTTAGTCATCTCTGCTGCATTCAAGGCCCAAATCTACAGTTGGCACACCTGCTTATATTGCTCCAGAGGTTCTATCAAGAAGGGAATATGATGGAAAGGTAAACACATCATTATCACATTATGTTTTTTTTGAAATGTAAGCATGGCCTATAAACCCCATGGTTTCACTAGGACTCTGTTCGGTCATACTCTCTTCTAAGCGAGTATGTCCATAGCAGAAATGAAATGTTTTTTGCTTTGCAGATTTTTCATTAACTTTTATTAGCATTTTTTTCAGTTGGCTGATGTATGGTCATGTGGAGTGACTCTATATGTTATGTTGGTTGGAGCCTATCCTTTTGAAGACCAAGAGGATCCAAAGAACTTCAGGAAAACCATCCAAGTAAGTTTCTTCATTTCTGTCTTTCAAATGCTACAAGGCCTTTGGTTTATGTTCCCAAATAAATGAGGGAATTATTAATTGTTACTCATGTATGCTTTGATTTTCTTTTCCAGCGAATAATGGCTGTTCAGTATAGGATCCCTGATTATGTCCACATATCTCAAGATTGTAGGCACCTCCTTTCTCACATATTTGTTGCCAATCCGGCCAGGGTATGTATGCTCTTGATGGATTGCACTTTTGAAGAACTCACTTTATGTGCATTTTAGTGAATGCTAAATGATTATTATCTATTTTATTTATTAATCTTGGATAATAACTTCTTATTAATTTTATAATGAAAAATTATATGCATTCCGTCAGCCTCTAGTTGCCTCTGGCGTAGGCTTTGTCTCTGAGTTTCAGACAGTTACTGTGTCACATTCAAAATGGAAGTCTTGGATTGTGCATATGATCATGGCTTCCTAACACCAGATCAGGAAAACTGTCTACTTTTTTCAGCCCACTCTCCGCATTTTAAACAGGGCATTGAATTGTGAAGTTTGAATTGTTTGAAATCCGTAATTTTGTTGTATTGTCAACCATGTGTAGAAAGCATCTTCAAATTCATAATAGAATTCTGATTTCACTTTCACTGTTTGTTGTGCCATATATCTAATAATTGCTGATATTTAAGTTTATCGAGAATGTTTTATCATTCATCTTCCTAAGTTGTGATGTAAGCTGAGTCGTTATCTTGATTTAGTATTGATTTTTGGATTACTTGATGTCTTCTATTTTTCTTGTTGGTCATCACAAGCGGATTCTATATTATTCCACTTCAGATTTGACATATTGTGCTTGGGTTTCAGATTAAGAAATGATTTTCTTGGTGCAGAGGACCTCAATCAAAGATATTAAGACGCACCCATGGTTTCTGAAGAATTTGCCGAGGGAATTAACTGATGCAGCTCAAGCAGCATATTACCGGAGAGAAAACCCCACCTATTCCCTTCAAAGTGCAGAGGATGTCCTGAAAATTGTGGAGGAGGCCAAGACCCCCGCTCCGGTCTCCCGTTCTGTTGGAGGCTTTGGTTGGGGAGGCATAGAGGATGAGGACAAAGAGGATGAAGAGGAAGAACTAGAAGAGGAGGAAGAGGAAGAGGAGGAAGAAGACGAGTATGATAAACAAGTGAAGGCTGTGCATGCAAGTGGAGAAGTGCGTCTCACCTGAGCCCTATGTGCTGCAGCTGAGTTGAAATCTGATGCTATTATGGATGTAAAAAGTGTATTTTACTGCTTGAAGTGTCGGTTTTAATAAGTTTGTAAATTCCTAGTGGTGTGGTCAAGGGACGTGTGCATTTGCATGGATAAATTTGTGTGTGTGTTTGCATAGCGCATATTTGGAGTGGATCAAATTACTCTTTAGATTTGTTACATATTCGAGTTTTATGGAACAGTTGTGTGCATTTTAACCTTGAACTGTGTTTAGTCGTAAGGATTTTGATGTGCTTTTATTTGTTACCTCTCCCAACCCATAACCAATTTCTGTTCGAGTCAATTCCATCATAATGCTTAAAATGAACTTCTTGTGCTTGTTTCTGTCATAATGCTAGAACCTGAAGGATGTTATTCATTTTGGTGCCGCACTCGGCGTGTTCATTCAGCAGAACAAATGTTTAGATTTGCTTATTTCTTAAAAAGTTGGGATATTTCGAGTTTACTTCAAATTTGTTCAGGAGCACTGTTTCATTTTAAAACCAAATAGTTTTCTGCTCAATTTTGTTCAGAAATGATGTGATCGTACCAAAAGCAGAAATTAGGCTGGCAATGCAAATGCTTAATTTTAAAGTTGGTAATGCTAATTTGGCAAAAGTTCTGGGGCATATTTGTTTGCTCAATTTTGTACAGAAGTGACGTGATTCTCTACATGCCAAAAGCAGAAATTAGGCTGGCAATGCAAATGCTTAATTGTAAAGTTGGTATTGCTAATTTGGCAAAAGTTCAGGGGCATATTCTAGAGTGTCTATGGTGCAGGCTGCCTTGCTGCTTCTAAAGATTCTTCCATCAATGAATTCAGGCCCCGTTTTCTCTAGATCTTAGAGAACTGACGTGGTGGTATAGAGATGAATGTACTTTTCACTAATTTTGTCTTGAACCTTATTGAACTACATTCGATTCATTTGTGGGACTTGTGTCCACCATTGAAACCTAAATTCAGTTGTTTTTGAGCATATTGGTTCCTCTCGACTTGGTCTGCAACGATTTCCTCTATTTCGAGGCGTATTCAATCAATGGATTCGCCTTGCCTTCTGAATTCCCTAGTCGGGTGGAAAATATTGAGGACTTCACATCTCTTTTAGGGCTTTGAGGTTGTACAAAAAAGAGTGTCATGTTATCTAGAAGTATTTAATTGAAAGAGGAAAAAGATAGGGTAATGTTATTTAATAGCACCGACGGTAATAACACTCTTCTAGATTGCAGTGAATGATACTAATCCCTTGTTTGATTTCGATAAAAATTAGGTTTTTAGTAAACTTTGATAAAAGTTGGAGAAATGTGTGTCAGAAAGCTGAGGTTGTGAATTGTACAAAATAGGTGTCTTGTCATCTAAAAATGGTTACATGATAAGGAAAAAAGGAGGGGTAATAAAATTTAAGACCGGTGATTATGATAACACTCCTCTAGATGGCACTTAGCGATATTAATCCCCTATTTGGTTTGGATAAAAAAAATTTTTTAGTATATTTACATAAAAGTTAGTGATATATGTGGTTAAAAAGTTCTGGATCCTGTTAAATATATAATTGAAATTAAATTTAAAAAAAAAACTTTAAGAAATGGGGGTCAAACATGGACCAAATGATAGAATTAATTAAATGACTCATCAATTGTCTACAATTAATTGAACATATCATCTAATGACACATATAATGGTATTGTAGCACTACTATGCTATATATATTATTTAAAAAATAAAAAATAAAATGGTGGGCTAGACATCTTAATCTTGTACAATTTATTTTCATTGGGGGTGTGTCCCTATTTTTTTTATTTTTTATTTTTCGTTTTTTTCTCCTCTCTTATACATGTGGCATAGAACTAATGCAATCCATATCCCCATTTGAGATTTTCTTCTCCCTTTCCATTTTTTCCATCCACATGTAGAACAATTGACATTGTTGCACTGGAGATGTCTTCAAGAAGTATTTATAGCATGTTTGATAACAGTCATATTATAATTTAAAATGGTCAATAAATTTTTTTTCCCATACACGTCGAATGATCAAGGAGTTATTATTCAGTTGTCATTTATCCACTATTGAGATCAACTTATAAATTCTTAAAAATACTACCAAAGAATCACTTAGCTATCTCATTTCCTTCCAATACGATCAAGTCCGATCAACTTTGCAACTGTAAAAAAGGTACCCTTATCCTATGTATTAAATTAAAAAAGAAAATGAGTTTGGAATTCTTTGGTAACAAATAGCACCCTTAGAAATTTTTTCCTTTTCTAATTGAAATTAAATTAGGAAGACATAGCCTCCAAGATTTCCTATGGGGTAGTTTTTTTATTGCCCTATAATTTATAATATTCATCTTTTAAATTAGGAAGTCTTTACGTAATAGTAACCAAAAATTCTCTATTGCTAATGTAGTTTGTATATCTGGCACTCAACAAACGCTTTGCAATTTATTTTTTTATTTTTATTGTTTTAAGCTATTAAAGAACCTCTTATTTGTAAAAGTTTATTATGATTTTTCAGTGTTTAAACGTCCACTTATGTGACATGGGTTGTCTTTTTGAAGCATATTACATGGGTAGTAATTTTTCGGATTTTTGTGTAGTGTTTCTTGTATCGGTATTAACTATGTGTAACAATTATTGTAATTTACTGCTTTTTCAATCAATGAACAATTAACTTTTGCTTTCAAATCTTCTATAAGCTTGCCTTATTTTAGTCTCGATATAGTGATTCTCGCAATTGCATAGATTTGTCAAGCATATTATTTGTTGCTTAGCATTCTCTATTCTCGTCCTTTATGAGAGAAGACGACGATCATATGTACATATGTGGTACTATTATTCATTCAAATCACGACATCTTAAACCTCGAGCTACTCAAATTGCATTGCGTACTTATTTTCTTCTCTCATACTATCTTGAATGTTGAGAAGTTGCGATTTGAGTGACTTGGTGATTGAGATTTCATAATTAAACAATATTATTTAGCATCAATGATATTGAACAGTACCAATTTATATGTCAACATATCATGGGTTCTATTGAATGAGCTATAATTCTTTATATTTAATTGAACCTCTAATTTAATATTAAATATCACAAGTACTGATTTCATTACTTTCAATTATTTTCTTTTATTTTCAATCACATAACTTTTAATAAAATAATATTACTAGTAAATGTAAATTTTTTTCATATTTTTAATCCCAATTTCTTCATCAAATATCTCGATTTCTAGGAGGCTGTAATTTTGGGTAAAAAATTTTGAACTGTGATCTTTCCTCTCCGCTTTTGAGTGTGAAAACTGAGAAATGTGGATGATGAAGAAAGCTGGGACATGGGTGGTTGGTTGGGACCGTCGACTGGGTAGGAGTAGGGTAGGGTTGGGGGTGAAGTAAGCCCAACCCAACCCGCGGCCTCCGCCACTACCCTCGCCTCCTCGACGGCCACCTCAGCCCCTTGCAGCCTCTGTCCCGAACTTGTCTCCGATCCTTTCCATCATTTTTGCGGCTCTCTGAAACATAATGATTTCAGCTACATTACGTAGACGTTCTCATTTATTCATTCTCAGTAGATGTATGTGTGTATTGCAAATTGTATTTCGAATACTAGCTATAAACTCTAGCTCAATTCTTAACCACCTCCTCCTGGTTTATTGACCACTCTTTCCAATGACGATGAAAATATGGAGCTCCAAGCCAAAGTTCCGGGTGAGAATAAAAATGGCGAAGTTGAAAGCCACAGTATCAGAATATGAGACAAAGTGATGATGTGCCGTCCCGTCCCCTTTCTAGAAGCCGCAAAAATGCACGTGTAACTTCAAAAATGGAATACGTGTCAGCTTAATTGCAATGGTGTTGACAGCGAGCGCTGTGGGTTTTGGCTATAAGTCCGATCAAACGCGAAACGAAAGCACCCTTGCAAGAAATTGAAGAAGAAATGGAGAGGAATTACCCAGAAGTTGAGCAACAAAATGGAAATAACTTTGATGAGCGATATAAAGGGGATGGACCTCCGACGGATGACGTCTGCCCAATCTGCCTTGATCTCTTCACCGTACCTTGTAGAAGCAATTGTACACACTGGTTTTGTGGCAAGCCTTTTCTTTTCTTTCTCCGAATTTTTATTTTATTTCAAGATTAAGTACTGTTTAGTGACTATTTTGCATCGAATCAGTATATATTTCTATTTATAATCATTATTGGTGAATAAAAATGGATGCTATAATTTTCGGGAAACTTGTGGTTTTGCTGCTTTTCAGTGGTAACTCTCATTTATTCAGCAAACTGATAATGGTGTTTTGTCCGTGGGTTTATGTTTCCTTACTTGATTTGTTGGAAAATCAAATGTATGAAATTGTCCGCTGATTTTTGGATTATTCCCTTTAATTCTTTTCAATGAAGTTTCGAATAATTGCTTCTTAGTTGATATATGTTGCTTGGCAACTGCTGATATTGTAGTTTATCTATCGATGAAAAGTATCACATGGCATTGTCATTTACCTGTTGTTCGACCAGCGGCTGCGATTGTCGTTTATCTGCAGTTTTATTAATGTGTGATTGTTGGTTAACTGCAATTCAGGTGACAACCACATTGTTGTTTATCTCTAGTTTGATTAGACCCCATATTTGCCTTTACAGAAATCGAGTAGCCACTGTATTGTCGTCTATCTGTAGTTGAGTAGACACTAGTATTTTCGTACACATTATTCAATCAACTGGTGGATCATGAATTTGTGTATTTTCTAATTAGTTTGTTAGTCCAAAAAATTGTTAGTATTTGTTTCAGAATATATCCAAGAAACTGATACAAGTACTTGTATTTTGCTTGCTTCATGTTTGTTCAAATACTTGCTAATAATCCTTTTCTTGGATTTTTAATCTTTTATTATGCACTGTTATTGCTTAACTCCTGGATCTGTAAATTAATCCTCTCCTGGATGCTGTACTCATATCTATAATCTCAATTTAGTTGTTTCTTCTCTCTCATTTATCGGCCTCCACTATTCCAGCCAATTGCATCCTGCAGTTCTGGATGTATATATCAGTGATTCAGCAGTGCAAATGCCCCTTATGCAGTCTCCCAATTACAAACTTGGTTTTGGAGATGTCTCAACTTGTTCAACCAGGAGAGGATGTCGAAGAAGTTATCAGAAAAGTGAAGCATTATAATCGCCTGTTTGTTGGTGGATTGGATGCTTTCTTCCTGGTAAGTTGATATGATGACGACTGTATAGACCTTAAGTTTTCATCTTCGTTTTTTAGCATTATACTTTTACTACGTGATCACTTTCAGAGGGTGTCTATCTTGATGAATGACACATGTTGAGCTTGTGGACAGTTTGTGATCTGAACACCAGATGAACCATAATATGCTATGAATGCTTAATATGAGTATCTAGTATCCTATTTCATGTACCTAATAATTTCTGTCTGAGCTCTCTCAATTTAGTGGACTGAATTTTTGTGTAAAGAGTATGCCTAACTGAATTTCTATATGAATGCAGTTGTATATTTTTGAATTTAATATGAGCCTTCAAAATTTCCAAAACATTCTTCGTTGGCCCTATCAAACTTGTTATTTCTGGAGGGAGTCGCAAGTTTCTCTCTGTTTTATAATTCATTTAGTCAACAAAACAAAAAAGAAGCAGAGCTGGCATCTGCTTCAATTATCTTGCAACGGAATGGCCATAGATTTTTCATTAGGATTATAAAAAAAGGTATGGCATTGATATTGCTGCATTGTCATCAATGATATGAAAGGAAACCTTTACCATATATTTTAAACTGTCATTGTACCCCACCTTGTCATCCTCTACTAGGATGCATGTCATTTATTCCTCAACATAATACCAGAGCAAGAAAGAAATAGAATAATGAGATTGTAGTCTGAATTTTGCAGAATGATTTGTAATGTCTACGCTGGATTTTCTCTCTGATTCCTTATCCTGTATATTTCTGTTCTTTTTTTCTTTTTCTTTTTTTTGTTTACCTCGAACTGTGAAATGTATATATTTCATGTTGACATGTCCCACTTCATATTTGGCAGAAGGTACTAATGTTGCCGGACTTGATCAAGAAAGTGTTCAGATTTCTGATGGATCTGGAGGCTTTGACATGCGACCTATGTGTAATGCGCTTCCTTGGGGTAATTGTATATTTACTCAACTACGTAGTAATTATAATTCCTCTCTTGTAATTTTAAACCTGGATATGTTTCTCGTTTATGAGTAGATTTTCTATTTCTTTTAGATAAAATATTTAACCCAGTACTTCAAGATTATTCAACATCCATATGTGAATTTTAGTTTTATTTTGCACTTTAGCTTCTCCATTTCTCCCTAAAATCATTACATAGTTTTGCAGTTGCTGCTGATTTTATTCTACGGGATGAAGGAATTTCAGTTGATCTCAATTGGTATGTTGTTTCTTTACCTTTAACTTTTGTGGTAAATTTGTATCAAAACATTCATCTCTACTTTTTGGCATGTAATACAAGCAGCAATATCATTACACAAGTATACACAAAAGTGGCCTTTCAGGCTCCCCGCGACCAACGCTGCATTTTGGTAAGGAATAGATACTTGGTGCAAATTAAATAAATGACTACAATCAAATACTAAAGGCAAGACAGCATGATAATATCTCGTATGGTCATTATTTCTATTGCTATATTGACGAGTCTTGGACAAATCAAATGCTATATACGACTGTCAGCCAAAGTGTTCATGCATTGTTTTGTCTTTAATTGTACCCTTGTTCAAGTTGGTGCCTGATTTTCTTCTTTACATATCTATAAACATCCATGAGTTTACACGGTTTCACTGCAATTCTAACCTGAAAAATGCTTCTGTATATAGGAGCATTCGGGATACTAAAAATCTTTGATGTTGGGGCTAACTTATTGCTCGCCAGTCTCTTTGTCTACCATATGTGGCAGCGATGGGAGCTTAGAGGTCTTGAAAGGCGCCTAGCTGATCTCCAACTACGGAATGCTTTGATTGATCTACAACAATGGGATGCTTTGATTGATCTACAACAATGGGATGCTTTGGTTAATCTAGAAGAATGAGATGCTCTGGATAATCTATCAGCAGAAGATGCTTGATCCCCAAGTTCATGTGGATCTCGACTTGAGGCTCCCCTTAGCTTGTAGCAATGCATCTATTTGCAGCATGATGTTGAGCATTACTTGGTTGGAGGGTTTATTTTCGAATTGCCACTCCTGATAGTAATGTTTATATGTAGAATCCCTTTGTAGATTGGGAAATTTATAGAATCAGTTTGATGCACTTGCGAATAATCGTACTTTTATGGTGTTCAGATAATTGTTTAAAAGGGAAAAATTAGCCAAAAAATAGACTTGATTATGTCTGTCCGATCTATTTTGACAACTTCACCATCCCAATTGTGGTCACTGGTTTTGTGGGAAGTTTTTCTTGTTGAAACCTTATGAAACTTCCTTTTTGTTTCCTATTTACATAAGGATGAGAATGAAAAATATAGTCGTTACGAATCCAATACAAGAGATAGAAATTCAAATATGGTGATTTTGTGTGATGGAGTCATATTTTTCATTTTTATAGGGAAAGAAAGGGAAATAAATAGGGACTTAAACTTTATAAAACTTTATGAATTGTCAAGATTTTCATGTCAAATCATCAAGAATATTAATTAATAGGGAACATATTTTAAGTTATTGAGAATAATTCTTTGTTACTAAATCTTGATTTTGGATTTTGAATCTCGAAACTTGGTTCAAAACAAGAATCGAATTTTTCTAATTTTTTAAACTATATTTATGTTAAATATTTTTTTTAAAAAAAATTATCAATCAATTAATTGAGCCAAACCCACTCAAAATATCACTTTCATGTCGTGGAAATTACATGGATGTGGGTTTTGAAATATTCCCTCTCAAAAATCGACTTTAAAGTTTGTTTCTACAAAAATGAGGGAAAAATTCCACAATTTAATATTATTATTAATATTATAAAATTAAATAATTTATATACCCGTTCACCCTACATCCATCCATCCCAAACACAAATCCTTTTTTTTTTTTTTTTTTTTATCTCTCTTCTCTCTCTATATTTCTACATTTAGGGGGGTGTTGGAGCTACACTATTTTGATAATAATGCATTCTTGAATAGTGTATTGATGAAAAATGTCTGGTTAAAAAATAAGGAAAAATTTTTAATTTGCGTGTAATATTATTTTATTGAAAAATGTGTGGTTGAAATGATATCAAATAATTATTTGAGAATACATTTTTTTGGAATAATGTGGCTCAGCCCATATTCTTTTTTCTCTTTACAACACAGTTTCTGGAATCAATTTAAAAAATCAATCCTCCCCGCGCCCCCTCCACCCGCATCCCTCTCTCTCTCTCTCTCTCTATATATATATATATATATATATATGTTCTCTCTTCTTTCTCTTTATAACAAACCCACCATTGAATTTCAAAAGTCTCACAAATACTACAAATATCAGTTTAAAAAATCGAACTACGAAATCAAAAAAAAAAAATCGAGAATCCCAAGGGAATCAAACCTGGCTTTAGAAACTAAATTTGAAATGGAATTCCTGTCTTTGTGGGTAGTGTTGTTGTTGCTTTGGTGGTGACTGATGCGTGGTGTTGCAGATTTTTAGGGATGGGAGGGCAAGTTAGTGGGGGTAGTGTTAGTGGCGACAATGGAAACAGCGTTGATGAAACTGTTACAATGTTGTGGTTGGTGGTTATGGTGTTGCTTGTTCGTAGATGTTATGCGTTTGTACTTGCATATTTTCCTACAGGGTAATTTAGCACAAAACGTCCATACCTTTCGATGTTTTTTGTGGAAAACGTCTATACCTTTCATTTTTTGACGAATTACACCCTCACCTTTACATTTTTTTGCGCAAAACGTCATTCTGTCAACTTTCCGTTAAAATGTTCCGTTAAATTAAAAGGTAATTAGTACCAAAGGTCCCTACCTTTCAATATTATTGTGCAAAATGTCCCTACGTTTCATTTTTTGGCATAATTAGCACAAAAGGTCCCTACCTTTCAATGTTATTGTGCAAAACGTCCCTATCTTTCATTTTTTTAGTATTTTCAACCCTACCTTTCACCTTTCATTGCGAAAAGGTCCTTCTCATCCATTTTTTCAATAAAATGACGATTTTACCCTCCTATTCAAATAAAACAAAAAGAAAAGAAAAGAAAAATAAATAATTCATTGTAATCACAGTCCTAAATCTTTCAAAACATTACAGATAAATTCTAAATTTTTCACTACCGCCACTTTCATAACCCCACCAATCCACCACCTATATATCCATATAGCACTACCTTTCGGCTACAACACCTATCGGACTCCACCACCACCAGCCTCACCTCACTCTTCCCAATAGCTTCCTCTATAGTATTGGTCATTAATCTATCCAAAACAACCATATTTATGATGGTAGAGTCTGGTGGGAATGGTTGCAGAAATGTGGTATTATGTTGATTTATAGTTGGCAGCTTGATAGGTTGTGAAAGTGGTGGTGCTTGGGAATTTATGATTTCTTTATAATTTTTTAAAAATTTAAGGACTATGGTTGCAATTGGTTATTCATCTTTTTTTTATTTGAACAGGAGGGTAAAATTGTCATTTTATTGAAAAAAATGGATGAGAACGACCTTTTTCGCAATGAAAGGTGAAAAGTAGGGTGAAAATGCTAAAAAATTAAACGTAGGTACATTTTGCACAATAACATTGAAAGGTAGGGACCTTTTGTGCTAATTATGACAAAAAATGAAAGGTAATGACGTTTTTCACAATAATATTGAAAGGTAGGGAACTTTTGTGCTAATTACCTTTTGATTTAACGGAACATTTTAACGGGGAGTTGACAGAAGGACGTTTTGCGCAAAAAAAAGTAAAGGCGAGGGTGTAATCCGCCAAAAAAACGAAAGATAGAAACTTTTTCCACAAATACATCGAAAAGTGGAGACGTTTTGTGCTAATTACCGTTTTCCTATTTATTAAAAGGGTGGGTTTGCCCCCCGGGGCACAGCTCAACTGGTGGATCAATCAACATTAGCTTGTTTCCAGCGGCAGGGTGGAGAGTTCGATTCTTGGTGGGAACCTGCGACCAAAAATTTGGTATGGAGCAATCACTGTGGAGGAGTGTCTCTTGTGCGCAGAAGTGTACAGTCAATGGAGGGAACCTGTGATCCAGTTGAGGCATAACTCGCGATTTACCCCCTTCAAGGTTCTAGGGGCATGGGTCTTGAAGGTCCAGAATTTAATCTGGTGTAAGTTGGGATACCTGGATTAAAAAAAAAAAAAAAAAAAAAGGGGGTGGGTTTGTATGGGCACTGTTCCTATGGTCGCGTGCCCTCCAATTTCTTTTTCTATTATTTTTTCGTAATTTTTTTCTTGACTGAACATTAATGTCAAAACAACGCAGTTTCATGTCCACTGTATTTACCATAAATGCTCTGCGACTCGCGCGCTATATTTCTCTCAGACGTCATATAGTTTCAGCTTTCCCATTCCTTTTCCTTTCCTTTCCTTTCCCTTCCTTTACCCTTTCTTCGACTGAAACCCTCACCAACAACTACACCGTAGCCATGTCACCTTAACACTTCAATTAGCCGCAGGTGTCAACTTTGTATCCTTGGCCGAAGCTAATATGTAACGCCCTGCCTCAACATCTCGATAGACCCCCTTCACATTCTTGGGCATTTCTAATGATTCCACTGCTTTTGGCATTTTTTGAGGATATATATCAAGATTATTTCAAGAATTCACACTTTTGAAGTTGGGTTCTGCTGTTGCTGAGCCACATTGCCCTACCCTACCCATCTAGTTGGAAAATTTTGTTGATGTAAGCTAAATTAATCATAAAAAGTACTTGTTTTAGCTAAAGTTCATTGAGTTTGCTCTGGGATCTATTGGGAACGGTAGATTGAAGAATAATTTGGATAGAATTTGTTGGATTGGCTTAGCTAAGTTTATGTAAGTTGCTACCCAGATTTTTGATTTTTGGAGTTTTATGTATCCAAACTAATCGGAGAAATTCGAGAGTACACAATCCATATGGATCCCAAAGGCAGGTCATTCATTCAGTGCATTTCAAGTGCTTTGCTTATAAAAATTGATTATCAAATAGGATTATAGGACGCAGACAAAAAAAAGGAGGAAAGGAAAGGATGGATTAGATGATGAAGAAATTACTTTTCAACGTATGGTCGCCAAGGTTAGCGAATCCTGTCACTTCTTTTTTCGAGCCTCTAGATTATGGAAGGTAAAAGTGTTTCTTTTATGGTGAATTTGGCATCATGTTTCTGTGATAATTTAAAGAACTTTTAATTGATTACGTTCTTAAGCTTACTTTTCATTTTCTTTTTATCCACCATTTGGATGAGCTGTAAGAATTCTAATGTTACGATCCTTTTACAAGTTTCTGTCTGGCTGATATTGGCGGAAGGAAGGAAACGAAGCCGTGTGATGATCAGACGGAGATTGTGAAAGCACTGGAAGTGAGTGAGATTCGATAGCAATCTCCAGGAGCTTCACCTCTCTCTTTTCTTCTCTTCGTTTAGTCCTCTCACAGGTCTCTATACAAATTATTATAATCAGTTTTTTTTGTTGATTCATGTTGCTAGCTTTATTGATGACTAAGTTTAGAGAATTGAAATTGTAAGTTTTCGATTGTATTTTTCGGTGCAAACTTCATGAAAAAGTTGAATCTTTTAAAACAGAAAGTTAGTTTTTGAAAAAAGATTCCTTCTTCAAATAGAGAGATGAACCAATTTAGATGTTTTAGAATAGTGTGCAGCTGACAAATATAATGCATTTATGAAATATTGTTACCTAAGAAAGTTCATGCTATTTCGAATTACCTCCTGTTTTATAGAACAATTAAATAGAACCATTAGGAATTAGAATTTGTAAAAAGTTAAATTGAGATTGGATGGAAAAATATATATAGTTCCAATTTTGAAGCCCAATTTATGCCACCAAATGCAGAAGCCTAGAAAAATTGTTTAAAATTTAGAAGGATGCAGTTATATATCCATAATGCCCATCGTATCTATATTTCTATGTTACAAGCATAGAGACTTGTTCATAGTTTCGAGTTATGACATGGAAATTGGGCAGAAACTCTTGTCATACTCCATCAGCTGCTCTATGAAGTGCCTAAGATGCTTTAGGGTAAACTTTTTGGATTGTATTGTGAACACCAGCTTTTATGAAATTTCTTCTTTTGAAGCTGCTAATAGTGTGCTATATTTCAATAGAATCAGCTGAGCTTATATTATTCCTGCAGGAAGATGACAAGTATGAATACTCAGAGCCAACCAAGATTCAGAGTTTGGTGAAAATATTATTCACAGTTTGTTTCATTCCCCATTTACACATGGCCGAGAAGTCGAGGAAATTTGAGGTGAGATTTTTATTTAATCTACAACAAAATCAAATTGGGATTTATTCTCAAGAAAGTTGGTGTCCTTACTAGACTCCTTTTTTCCCTGTCTATTTTTATTGCTACACCCGCTAGAATGTCCAACCTAACTAAGTCCGTGGCGACAAAGATATTGAATGAGTATTTTACATATAAATTTAAAAATTATGTTTATTGCAAGTTTTTGATGGAATCATGGATCATCTATAGCACTTATTATTGATTAAATCCCATCTGTAAAAAAAAAATTCATTTCATTATGTACTATAGCAACCGTATGGATTCATTTTCTCAGATCACCACGACACATTTCTTTCTGCAAATAATTTAACATCTCCAAAAAGGTAATTTTAAATATTCTATAGGATGGCAGAAGTGCTTTGTGTATATACATTGAGCAAGATCATCCATTGTTAGGAATTTGTCTTCGAATGCAATTATTATTTGAATCAAGCGAGGAAAATGGACCAGGTAATCTTTTTGAGTTTTATAGCTAGATTTCATTGCATTTTAAACTTCCTTTGAGGTTACAGTCCATTTTTGTTTAGCCGTTACTAGACTTTTGGGGTATAAAATTCAAGTGGAGATGAGAACCTTTTGCTAATCAGAATAAAACTATAATTTTGTAAAAGTTAGAATTGAATCGAACAAGTCCTGCTTTACTTATCTTTTTTAACTCATTTTGGGACATGGGATACGTGTTATGTTGGTGGTATGAAATCAAGCATCGACAATACTTTTTATTAATTGCTCGAAGTCTGTAAAGACTCTACATCAAACCATTGCTAGATAGCATTCGAGATGCCTCAATAATTCTCAGCTATTTGGAATCAAGATATCATTCCGAATTGTGGTTCAAAATTTCTTCAACTATGTATTCAATTTAATCAACTCCATGATCCGTTATGCCGAATGCATATACTACAGCTAGGGTTGGCAGGGTTGGCAATGGGCCGAGCTGGGCTCGGCTCGGCCCTTAATGCCACGAGCTCGGCTCGTTGAAATTGGGCGAGGTCGGCTCGGGGGCTAGCCTATTATTTATTTATTTATTAATAAAGAATAGAGTTTTAAAAATAAAAAGTGTTAAAAAATACAAATAATTTAACGAAAACAAGTTTTTTTTATTTATTTATATCATATTGTAATTTGTAATACTTTTTATAAAGTATAAAATATTTATATAATGAAAACGAATTATTTTTTGAAATACATTTACAAAAAATAAAATAAAAAGTGTTAAAAAATACAAATAATGTAACGAAAATAAGTTTTTATTTATTTTTTATTTATATCATATTGTAATTTGTAATACTTTTTATAAACTATAAAATATTTATATAATGAAAACGAATTATTTTTTGAAATACATTTGTAAAAAATATATTTTTTTGATTTCTTTTTGAAGTTAAGAAAATGTAAACCCTCCGCCTTTATCCAGGCTTGGGACCGACTACATCAATTTTAAGTATGTGAAGTTAAAAATTGTATACGAACAACTTGTTGTAACGTGTACAATTTTTTAAAGAAAATTAAATTTAATGATTAAAAAATAAAAAAAATTTGATTAATATAATTAAATCAAATATCACTTACCCGACGACATGCAATTTCAGTGTATTTATCTTTGTAGTCGAAAATGAGCGTCTTGTCAATCCTTCACACACATTAACGCTTCCAAAACATTTTCTTTTAGTCGGCTCCTGACATTGGTCAAAACCCTTTTACCTGCACTAAAAGGAGACTCCGAAACAACAGTGTTAACTGGAGGTGTCAATAGATCTTTCGCAATTGTAGAAACAAATGGCCAACGTCTTTCATACTTTCGCCAAAATTCAATTACTTCTTCTGAAATTTTTTTAATTGTTCTGTCTGTTGTCATATTATAATTGAAATAATCAATTAATTCGACAGGCATCGCATTTTGAGTTTCGACCGATGTTTGATGAGATGCAGATGTAGACGACATGGCACTAGATGAACAAATTGCAGTTGCATTATATCTAAATGTATTAATGCCCTGAAATAAATTCATTATTTCCACAGCATTTTCTTCAGTTTCAGCAAAAGGAGTAGGTGCAGCAGAGGGTATCCGACTAACATTCGCACCCATTCTTTCCGCATATAAATCATACATTCCACATAATGTTTGCTCTAAATTCTTATAGATGATAGCTTTATTGATTTGATCAATTACGTATTTAGTTCCCGAAATATTATATCGAGGGTCCATTGCGCATGCTAAAGGAAATAACATAGGCAGTTCTTCCCAATATTTTCTAAACTTTAATTCCATAGTAATTAAAATTTCACTAAAAGCAGGATCAATTTTATATTTATGGAATGTTCTTGCAATTATATAAAGGCGTTCAAGCACCATATAGTTTGTGAGATAATAAACGTTGGATAAAATCTTTGTGATCTCATAAAAAAATGTCAAAAATCGTTTAACTTTCAAAGTTAAAATTCAATCGGATTCATTTAACATACCATCGTCATCACTTCTAACATGTCTATTGTTATAAAAGTCAGTTATTAAATTTTCGAAACCTTCACATGATTTTAATAGCAAGTATGTAGAGTTTCATTTATGACCTACGTCGCTAATAAATGTTTTAGCAGTCATCACTCTTAGTTCGGCACAAAAATCTTCAAATGCTTGTTTTCTACTAAGAGAGATCGTAATATATACTAATGCATTCCTAATCCTTTGAAGTTCATTCTTTCTATATTTTAAACCATCTTGCACAATTAAATTCAAGATATGACACACACAACGAATATGAAACAAATACCCACCAAAATCAGGTTGAAGTGTCCTACACAATTTATCGACGACTACCTTATTAACACTAGCATTATCAAAAGTAAAAGATCAAATTTTAGTCTCACAATGATATTCTTTAACAATACTGATAATAGCATTATATATATTATTAGCATTGTGAGGAAATTCAATAATTCTAAAAGCAATAATTTTCTTATGCATGCACCAAAGTGGGTCTATATAGTGTGCGGTTGCTGCTATATATGCTCTTTTATTAATCCCTTCCCATATATCAGAAGTTAAGGATATAACACCCCCATATTGTTGCAAATCCATAATTAATTGTTGTTTTGAATTATTGAAATAATTTATTGTATCGACACGAAGAGTGTTTCGACTTACCCCAACGTATCTCGGTTGTAGATATTCTATCACGAACGAGATGAAGTGTTGGTTGTCTACAATAGCCAGAGGCAACTCAGTGGCGGGAGTATCGTCCTCCGAATACACCCACGTGGATAGGGGTAAAGTTGTAGAACCAGCGCCTGGACTGTCAAATTGCAATTGTGTTTGACCAAGTGGAAGAAGTCCATATCTGGCTGCACATAATTTATAGTGGCGGTTGAGATGAGTGGTACCAATTCCTTTTAACCATGTCAATCTTTGTTGACAGTATTTACATATTGCTTTATATTCTGCAAGGCCATCAACGACTTTTCCCGATGAAATCAACTTAAAGTGATTCCAACATTTTGCTTGTTTTTTGGCCTTTCGCTTTCCTCTCGCATCTGGGATATTTAATTGCTGATCTTCATCTTCATGTTCTGTTTCGGGAACGTTAATACCATCCAAATCAATTGGATTGTGGTTTCCCTGACCGTGAATGTGAACATATTCAGTTATCGGTATATCATTTAGACTGGCAAATTCATTTGGAAATTGACTTTGCGGCGTCCTAAGCGATTCTCCATGATGTGGCTCACATCCTGTATCGAACAAGTTCTCAACAAATGAACGTTGATCCATTTCTGTGATTGTTTATGATGAAATCTTGACTAGATGAATATAAATGTAGTGAGATTTTGAGAATTGAGAATTGGATGAATTGAAATTGTAACTAATAAACTGTAAAAATTGAATTGATGTTGTATATTTTGTAGCACAAGAGAGTAAAAACTCGATAATTGATATAATAAAAGAGAGTTGAGAGGGTTGTAATCTTAGAAGAGCAATTGATATGAAAATTTTTTTTTGGGAAAGGGGGTATTTATAGTAGAAAAAGGGAGGGAGGGGAATAAAAAAATAAAAATAAAATTTAGTGACCAAATGGTCACTGAACTCACTGAATAAAAGTTCAGTGACCGTATTTAGTGACCAGAACGGTCACTGGATCGACGAGCAGGGCTCGTGGGGCTCGGCTCGTCAGGAGCCCGAGTCCGAGCCGCCCACGAGCCTCTTTTTCACAAGCCGAGTCGCCGGCTCGACCCAATTGACATCCCTAACTACAGCTTGGAAGTTTAGTGCTAGGTAGAAATTCTTAAATTTTGTTCTCATTTTATGTTCTTTAGATGCTTAAGAGGATTGGTTTGACAATAGGATTTGGTTTTTAGAATATATTCTCACTTCAAACATATTTTATGATATATTCTAATTAGCCAACATCGCGGCAGGTAGAATTCAAAATTTTGTGCAATTAACTTTAGAAATGAGGTAGAACATATCCCTAATTGCATGTAGGGATGTCAATTGGGCCGAGCCGACGAGAAAAGAGGCTCGTGGGCGGCTCGGGCTCGTGAAATCACTCGGCTCGCCATTTAGATGAGCCAATGTTTTGGTCACTTTTCAGTGACCGTTTGGTCACTGAATTTTATTTATTTATTTTTATTTTCCCTCCCCCTTTTTCTACTATAAATACCCCCTTCCTGCAAAGATTTTTCTCCATATCAATTGCTTTTCCAAGATTACTTTTATTATATCAATTATCGAGTTTTTACTCTCTTGTGCTGCAAAATATACAATATTAATTCCATTTTTACAGTTTATTATTACAATTTCAATTAATCCAATTATCACAATCTCACTACATTTATATTCATCTAATCAAGATTTCATCATAAACAATCACAGAAATGGATCAACGTTCATTTGTTGAGAGCTTGTTCGATACAAGATGTGAGCCACATCATTGAGAATCGCCTAGGACGCCGCAAAGTCAATTTTCAAATGAATTTGCCGGTCTAAATGACAAACCGATACCTGAAGATGTTCACATTCACGGTCAGAGAAGTCACAATCCAATTGATTTGGATGATATTAACGTTCTCGAAGCGGAATATGAAGATCAGCAATTAAATATCCCAGATGCGAGGAGAAAGCGAAAGGCCAAAAAACAAGCAAAATGTTGGGATCACTTTAAGTTGATTTCAACGGGAAAAGTCGTTGATGGTCTTGCAGAATCTAAAGCAGTATGTAAATACTGCCAACAAAGATTGACATGGCGAAAAGGAATTGACACCACTCATCTCAACCGCCACTACAAATCATGTGCAACCAGACATGGACTTCTTCCAGCTGGTCAAACACAATTGCAATTTGGCAGTCCAGGCGCCGGTTCTACAACTTCACCCCTATCCACGTGGGTGTATTCGGAGGACAATACTCGAATCGGAATGGTGAAATTTGTTGTCGCTACTGAGTTGCCTCTGGCTATTGCAGACAACCAACATTTCCTCTCGTTCGTGAAAGAATATCTATAACCGAGGTATGTTGGGGTAAGTTGAAACACTCTTCGTGTCGATACAGTAAATTATTTCAATAATTCAAAACAACAATTAATTATGGATTTGCAACAATATGGGGGTGTTATATCCTTAACTTCTGATATATGGGAAGGGGCTAATAAAAGAGCATATATAGCTATAACCGCACACCATATAGACCCACTTTGGTGCATATATAAGAAAATTATTGGTTTTAGAATTATTGAATTTCCTCACAATGCTAATAATATATATAATGCTATTATCAGTATTGTGAGACTAAAATTCGATTTTTTACTTTTGATAATGCTAGTGTTAATAAGGTAGTCGTCGATAAATTGTGTAGGACACTTCAACCTGATTTTGGTGGGTATTTGTTTCATATTCGTTGTGTGGTCATATT